TTGCTGCTAAAGAAAGGCTTTTTGTTAGCCTTACACATACACACACAGCAAGGCGCACATAGAAAAGCAGAGGGGAACTTGGGAAGCTGAAGCCCAGTCTCTCCTTGAGGCCTGGGGGGTTTTAAGCGTCTCTGGAGGAGGTCTTCCTTCCTCAACTTAGGTTTGGTCAGATTGAACCAAGACAGGGAGGCTGATAGGTCCACAGCTTTAGGGTAAAGATGTCCTGCTCTGGTCTCGAACTTGTAGGACCAGTCCACAGGCAGGGCCTGCAGGAAGTTCACTATCTTTATTATTTAGACTTGGCCCCTCTCCCTGTGTGTCTGCCTATCAGGGAATTTGCCTTAACGCCTGGCCCCTCAGTACAGTTTTCATACATATAAAATATAGCGGAAAACATGTTTCTGTAGGGAACAGAGTGTACATACAGTTGGCTCACCAAATGCCATGCAGTGTAAGCTGCTATACTTGCCAGAGAGGAGGGCAGTGCTTCAGAGGAGGGTAGCTAGTGGATACAGGGAACTCATTCTTTATAGTAGCTTTGGAGTGACATTCTTCCCTACCCCGGTGATTTCATCTTGAGGTAGATGGCTCTCAATGTGGACTTCAAGGACAAGAAAGCATCTTTAGGATTGCAGATGCCAACACAAGAGCATGTCGAAACAAGAGGTAGAACATGTGTACAGTAGAGCAGAAGCACTGAAGACCACCCTCTGCCAAAGGCGACTCTGGATTGTCCCAGTTTGAAGGAATGAAGCATGAATCTAATTAATCTTACCAATAAAATTCAGGAGTCAGATATTAGGGTAAAAACCTGAAAGATCAGAGAAGCAGGAGAGTAGCTACAGTTGCTTCCTTCCTTTTCTGTTCCTCTACTCCAAAAGGGTTGAAATCCTGTCTCTGCTCTGCCTTATCACTTCCTGTTCCTCTCTGTACAGACCTCCAAATCGCTATGGTCAACTAGTAGCTAGCTCCGCCCTCTGACTCCAAGAAAGTTTTATTTGTCAGAACACAAACAAAATATCACACAACAGAGGAACAACTGGGTTGAATAAACTAATTAATTCTTCCTACCTCAAATTATAATACCAGAATATCACCTTTCTTTCTTTTTAATGGACTTGTGAGTGTAGTGAGGTAATGCTTTGGGGGCCTGTATTAGTTACTTTTCTGTTGCTGTGGAAGAATGCCCTGGCAAAAAGCAACTTAAGAGGAGAAAAATTCCTTTTGGGGGTGGGGGGTGGGGTTCCAGACAGGATTTCTCTGTGTAGCTTTGCACCTTTCCTGGATCTCGCTCTGTAGACCAGGCTGGCCTCCGCCTCCCAATTGCTGGGATTAAAGGCATGTGCCACCACTGCCTGGCGAAAAATTCCTTTTGAATAGAGTTTATCATTATGGGGAAGACATGACAACAGGTGAGGAAGGCATGGTGGCAGGAGCAGAAGCTGGCTGATCACATTTCATCTACACACAGGAACAGGAGAAAAGCAGGAAGTGGGTCCAAGCTGTAAACTCTCAAAGCTAGTGTTGTGCTTCTTCCAGCAAGGTTCCGCCTCCTAAAGTCTCCATAACATTCCCAAGCAGCACCACAGCCTGAGAACCAAGTGTTCAAACGCAGGAGCCTGCCTATAGGGCCATTGCTCATTCCAGTCACTACAAGATTCAAACCACTAGAGGGGAACCGGGGGACATTTCACCCGACAGTGGGAGTGTGTGGAGACTGGAGAGGAACTGAGATCACCAGGGTCAGCAAAAAGTGTGCTACTGGTCTACTTCTGGTACATTAATACCTCCCTAAAGCAGCTCAAACACATGGTAGACACTCAAGCCAGAAGACTTTTTTAGACAAGGTGTTCTTCCCACCCACTCTCTCTCTCTCTGTGGTGCTAGGCATCAAATCCATGGCTCTGTGCATGCAAAACAAGCATTCTGCCCACTGAGCTATTCCCCAGCCCCAGAAACAGGATCTTGATCTAACTCTCTCCCTACTCACACTCCCACCTCTGTCTCTGTCTGCTTTTTTTGTTTTATTTTGGCTTTTGGTTTTTCAAGACAGTTTCTCTTTGTAGTCCTGGCTGTCCTGGGACTCGCTCTGTAGACCAGGTTGGTCCAACTCACAGAGAGCCGCCTGCCTCTGTCTCCCAAGTGCTGGGACTAAAGGCCGTGCCACCACTATCTGGCTTCTGTCTTGTTGTTTTGTTTTTGTTTTTTTAAATAAGGTCTCATTATTTAGTCTTAGCTGGCGTAGAACTCTTATGCAGCAGCTCACAGAGATCCATTTGCCTGTGCTGTTGGATTTAAAGGTGTGAGCCTCCATACCAAGTTCAGAAATAGGATTTTTTTCTTCTTGTTTTTTGAGCAGGGTTTCTCTGTGTATCCCTGGCTGTCCTGGAACTAACTATGTAGAGCAGGCTGGCCTCAAACTGATCCGCCTGCCTTGCCTCCTGAGTGCAGAGATTAAAGTCATGCACCACCACCACCTGGCCAGAAACAGGATTTTAATAACCCAAACTAGACTTAACCTGTCTTGATCTCTGTCTTGGCTTCCCAAGCATGTGCACCACCATGCTTGACACAGCAACGCTTTTTTTTTTTTTTTCCATTTTGTTTGAGAAAAGATCTCACAGTGTAGTCCTAACCGGCCTCAAACTCACAGAGATCCATCTGCACGAATGTGTGTGTGCGTGCGCACGCACGCACACACGTGTACGTACACACACGCACACGCACACGCACACACACACATGCGCGCGCACTGGTACCTCCCAAGTGTTGAAGTTAAAGCCACCATGTCAAATCTGGCCTTGCCCATTCTTGTCCTACCCCATTCCACTGACTCACTGCCTTTTCCAGCCAATCTCCCTTTTACTTTTATGTTTGTTTTGGTGACCCAGTGAGTGTAATAAGATTTGGTCACATGAGCACTAATGAGTTATTTCAGGAGCATGAGCAGTTTACCAGTGGCTACTGCCTCAGCCACCATTAACTGTCAGTAAGTAACTCTTGAGGAAGGCGTGTAGTCTGGTGAACCTTCCCATCCATGACAGGATGCTGGCAGGCCCAATTGTATGCAGTTCCTGTACAAGTAATCACAGCTGCTGGAGGCCAAGAGCACAGCAGTTGTGCCCCAAGTCAGTGTTCCACACAACCTCTCCCTGTCCTCCTGCCCTTCCAGTCTTCAGTCCTCCCTCTTCTTCCCAGATGTTCCCGGAGCCTTGAAAGGGGTGATGCAGATATCCCATTTATGGCCAAACATTCAACTGTCACTTACTCTCAGCATTTAGGCCAGTTACAAGTCTCCACAGTAACCACTCTGAAACTGATAGCAGCACTGATCTTTGGGCAGTATGTTCATTTAGCAAGACAGTAGTATTAGCTTACCCCCTAGGGCCTATGACCTCTACTCATAGGCTTTTGACCAGTCTTAAAATACCAGGCATGAACTCCCTCCACAGAGCAGGATTCAGCTTCTGGCAGAAAGCAGTTGGTGACCCTGCTTATGTGGCTTAGAGGGCAAAGGTGCTTACTGCCAAACCTAAGGACCTGAGTTCAGTGGCTGAAATCTACATGATGGAAGAACTGCCTCTTTAAATCATCCTCTGACTGCCACCATGGTATGTGTACTAATTAATTAATAATGCAAAATATCTAACTTTTAAAAGAGGCCAGCTCCACGTTGCTCCTTCAGGATCTTTAGGTAAAAGCATAATGTTTAAATAAGAATGTTGAACAAATCCTGGTTCATCTGTTTTCCTGGAGTTTGGAGTATGCTCAGATAATTCTAAGAGTTGAGGAAGAGGCAGAGCTGGTAGAGCATGGTTTGCAGCTGGAGAGATGGCATGGCAGGTAAGAGCTTGCTCTTCCAAGGACCCAGATTTGATTCCACACCCATATATATGGTGGCTCACAACTGTCTGTAACTCTTCTTACCTCTGTGGGTACCAGGTATGCCTGGATGCACAGACATACATACAGGCAAAACACCCACATACATACAATTAAATTCAAAAGTTAGAAAAATAATTGTACAAGGTTAAAGGGTGCCAGGACTTAAAGGGATCTTAAGTGTATGTGTAAATGTAGAAGTAGGAAGTAGGTAGTGGGGATCTGAGGGGTTCCATTACAGCACAGCCTTTCTGGTTAGAACTGAAGGGTTCAGAGGAAGACAAGTCCATTAGAACTCAGAAGCTATTGTAGCTGCCTCCGTTAGCTTGTTCCTCATCTTTCCTATGGCTCCTCTCCCAAAGTCCTCCCATACCCAGCCTACAGACTTGAAGCATGGAGCACATCTGACAGTGCCTCATGCACATGAGGGCTTAGTGAGTTCTGTGTGGATAAGAGCACAGGCTGTCTGCTTCTGCTTGCTTTCTCAGCGGGAGATGGAGTGAGTGCCCTGGCACCTGCTGGATGGTTGTTCTGAGGCTTGTGTGGAAAGGGTCCATGGCCTGGAGTCATGGTCTGGTTCTTTCTTTTTATGTTCAAGCTGTATGAACCATTCTCTGTTGGGTAATAGGTGGGCCACACAGAGGGTTTTTAATGGACATTTACATTTTAGATTCTATTTGCATTTCTCCTCTAGAGCAAGTGACAGTGAGATATTTTTTTCTTGCTTGTCACCTGCAGATTAACTTTTTTGGTTGTTTGTCTTTAAACATTTGGCAGCCCCATTTGGTCAAATATGCCTGTTAAATCCCTATTGAAAACAGAAGAATTTCAGTTATGCACATCTGCAAATGGTTACATAATGTTGAGTTCATTATTAAATATACTATCTGAGATTTATGTATTAGAAAAACGATGTTTAGAAAAAAGTATACCTGTTATTATGTACCTTTAATAAAAGTGGTCACCAGATAGAAGTTCTTGTGAAGAAAAAACTAAGTTTTATTCTTCTAACTCCTAGGGAACCTCTCAAAAATTGAGCTTCGTGTGAATTCTGACACTAGAGAAAGGTAATATGCAGAGAGAAGTACACACCAATGAGTACTTTTTGTTCTCTATAGGTTGGGAATCCACGTGTTGAACTTACCCTCTCAGAACTTCAAGATATGGCGGCCAGGCAACAGCAGCAAATTGAAAATCAGCAGCAAATGTTGGTTGCCAAGGTACATTCAAAAAGAAACATCGTTCAGAATGTTTGTTTTTCAGCTGGCCTTTCAGATTGAGGCTACCTTCGTGGGTGGTGAGATGGGACTGTGCCAGGAAAGTGCTGAGCAGTGTTTGTGTGTTGCATCCTGTAATGGCACAGGTGCCTGGATCTTGATGATGTCGGAGTTGCATCAGAACAAGAACCTCTGGTCCTCGGTACACATGCCAACACAGTACTCTATTGGAATATGACTGGGCCTAACCAAATGGCAGACAGATGTGGAAAGAAAAGATATTCCCCTTTGTTACTTCCAGGTTCCCTAGATGAGATCTCTGCCATGTAGCTGGTTTTCTGTCCTGAGAAGACTGGCTGGCAGTCTGATGAAAGCTCAGGTGGGGCCCTGGAAGAATGATGGCCAATTAGCAAACAGGCTTCCCAAATGCTCCTCCACATTGAGTGTGTTAGGGTTACGACAGTGTGGGGCATGGTTAAGACTCCTTATACACCCCAAGTTCTCCTTTCGTAGATAAATCCCCATAAAGTAGGTTTGGGAATTTTTCTAAATCATGGTTTACTTAGGCTTGATAATCAACTAGAAAAGATCAAAGCCACTACCCATCCCTTATGGGGGTTATTCATGATATGAGATGTCTCAAAGTGTTCTGAATCTACTTTAAGGGAGCTTCTGAATACTCTAGCGTGGCTTATTCTCTCTCTTGTGGTTTTTCTTTTGCTTGTGTGTGTTTAAGGATATATGTGTGGGTGGCACTTGTGCCATGGCACAGTGTGAGGAAGAGGACAAGTTCTTGGAGTTGGTTCTCTTCTTCCACCATGTGGGTCCCAGGAGATGAGCTCAGGTTCAGGCTTGGTGACAAAGGCCTTTACCCATCTGGCTGGCCTGATTGTCCTCTCTATAGAGAGAGTTACTCAGTCACCAAGTGACCAATCTTGTATTTTCCATTTACTGTGTGTAGTTCACTGTTCTGACTGCTTATATGTAAGAGAGAATTTGTTGGACTTGTCTTGAAAAGATGTCTCATTAGGCCAACAAGATGGCTCATCCTGACAACCTGAGTTCCATTCCATGGAACTCACATGGTGGAAGAAAAGAACCAATTCCAATGGGTTACCCTCTGACCTTCACATGTACCCATCCACCCACTTATACTCACACATTTTAAAAAAAAGTTGTCTCAAAGATTATTGTACCTCAAGAATTAAAAAAAACAAATAAACAACAACAACAACAACAACAACAAAAAAGCCAGTTTTAGAGAGCTGGAGAGATGACTCAGCAGTTGAGAGTACTGCTGCTCTTCCGGAGGACCTGAGTTCAGTCCCCAGTACCCACGTCAGGCTGCTCACAACTTCCTGTGACTCTAGCCCAGGGGATCTGACACCCTCTTTTGGTCTGTGGGCTCTTACATACAACATGTGCGCTCACGTGCGCGCGCGCGCGCGCGCGCGCACACACACAGACTCACTCTCTCTAAAATGTAATGAAGAAAACTTTGTAGATACTTTCCACAATGTAAATCACAAGTTAATGTTCAATCTGAAATATTTGAGCATGAATTTCTGTGCCTTAGAGTAATATGTAACGCCTATGGATTCATGCATAAGCCTCTTCTCATTTTGGAACACTTTATGCACATAGATGGGACCACAAATACTTGCTGTTGACTTACCATTAAAGTATGTTTTCACATGAGTAGGAAAAAAAAAAACAGTTGAAGAGTGTTTTGTGCATTTTATTTTAGGATTGTCCTATTGGGAAATGTTTCACCATTTAAAGACACTAATTGTGAAGAAAGCAGAGTCCCTTAATGGCCTAGTATGAGTTACAGATTGGAGGTTCATCTAGTGATCCCCATCCTTCTTCCCATGTAGAAACTGCTGTCTAGGAAATTGAGTGAGGGATCCTTGGAGTACTTTGTAGCATCAGGAGCTCTGCGCAGACAGCAGGAAGCAAAGCTGGTGGGACTTGACACATTTTCCTGGAAAAGGACACACAGAGTCCTTGCTGTGACCTTTCAGCAGAGGCATCCCCATGAGCTGAATGTGCAGATCAGTGCATGTAGTCAGGTCTGCCTTAAGAATCCTCAAACTCATATTGTAATATATAAAGGTAATCAAGTTTCTATTTGCCAAGTTTAGATTTTTCATTCTTTGTTAGGAACAGCGTTTACACTTTTTAAAGCAACAGGAGCGCCGCCAGCAGCAGTCTATTTCTGAAAACGAAAAGCTTCAGAAATTGAAAGAACGAGTCGAAGCCCAGGAGAACAAGCTGAAGAAGATTCGTGCCATGAGAGGACAAGTTGACTACAGCAAAATGATGAACGGCAATCTGTGTATGTGCCTGCAGCCCATGCCCACATGCCCAGGCTAAGTCTAGTCAGACAGGCCAGTTGCCTGGCAGTTCCAATCACAAACCCACGTGGCATTTTGCAGGTTCTAACATTTTACTTTCACCTTCAGTAAAGAGGATGAAGTTCATTGGGTTAATTGATTTTTTTTTTCAAATTGTATAAATTCTCTGCAAAAAAAACTAATGAGGGCTGGAGAGATGGATCAGAGGTTAAGAGCACTGGCTGTTCTTCCAGAGGTCCTGAGTTCAATTCCCAGCAACCACATGGTAGCTCACAACCATCAATAATGAGATCTGGTGCCCTCCTTTGGCCTGAAGGGATATATGCAAGCAGAAGCAGAACATATTGTATACATAATAAATAAATAAATCTTTAAAAAAAAAAAAAACTAATGAAGTCTGAATAAGGTTGTGTTCTAGTATGGTATTGTTTGAAATTAATTTCCTGAGTTTTTTAAATATAAATTTAATTGTGAATTTTTATAGGGCATGGTATAATAATTTGAAGAATGTGTATAATGTGTATTAGTTCATCAGGAAGTTCACATTTCTGTCTCCTTGAACTCAAAATTTTTTTGATAAGTCTATGGTTATTTTTGCATATTTATGACATTCAGTTTGTTTCAGAATAGCTCTGGCCCCTTCTGTTACGGTGATGACATCAGCCCTTTGGATTGGTGTCAGGCTGCTCCAGGGGCAATAATGAGTAGTCTGTTTTTGTAACTACCTCATTAAGATGACCATACAGTCAGGTGTGGTGGCACATGCCTGTAATCCCAGCCCTTGAGAGGCAGAGAGGCGGGAGGACAAGACTATGCAGTAAGGCCTCGTCTCAACAAATGGTCAATTACATCATGCAGGTGCTTCTTTTGCTTCTGTGTGAATTCTGGTTTTTTGTTTTGTTTGGTTGTTTTTTGTCAGTTTAACAAATACCTATTTAATGTTACAATGATGGGTAAGATCTTCACAGCAACGCTTTTATCTTGCTCTCTGAGGTTCTGAAGAACCTTGACTAAATTAGCTTTTGTAGTAATGTTCCTAAAGAATATTTATTAACAAATGCAAGCATAGTTATTGACTTTGTGAATAGTCACGTCATGGATTTCAAAATCTGTTGGTGTATTCTTGGTAGGCTAGAACCCTTGCCTGGCAAATGCGAGACTTGGGGTTTCTCCAACTGTAGCTCTTGAAAGAAAAAAGTCTATTTTGGGTTATGCATACACTTTATATTTTTTATTTTTATGCATACACTTCGGTCCAAGGCTAGCACTCAATATTAACTGAGTATTAACCAGAATTTAGTGTCACATATAGAAATGAAGACAGAGTGTGTCCCTTAAATAACCATTTCCCCTTTCTGGCAATTGCAGCTGCTGAGATAGAACGGTTCAGTGCCATGTTCCAGGAAAAGAAGCAGGAAGTTCAGACTGCAATCTTACGAGTTGACCAGCTTAGTCAGCAACTAGAAGATTTAAAGAAAGGAAAACTGAATGGGTTCCAGTCGTACAGTGGCAAGTTGACAGGACCAGCAGCGGTGGAGTTAAAACGACTATACCAAGAGCTACAGGTAATTGCCTGGGTCTGGGGCTTCGGCCTTACTTAGTGGGGACAAAACATTCCAATTCCAGTCTTCAACATTTCCATTTCTCTGGCTTGGAGAGATGGCAGAGCTCTTAAGCACTTACGTTTTTACAGAAGACCCAGGTTCAGTTTCCAGCACTACATGGTTGCTCATGAACATCTGTAACTCCACTTCCAGTGGAGCTGATGGCCTCTTCTGTTCTGCAGGCATAGCAAACACATGGTGCACATACATACATGAAAGCAAAAAACACTCACATACATAAAATAAAATATAGAAACCTAAAAAAGAGTCCCACTTTTCAAAAGCTGCCTGCCTTTCAACAGGTTTGTTTTTTTTTTATCAGCACTTGCTAAAGCAGGTACTGGATCATTTTATGAGGCCATTCCACTACAGACAGGGTCACTGAGCCGCTGTTGGTATTACCTTCTTTACTTCACCATTCCTTCGCATTGTAAAGCAACTGTTAAGTGTGTAGGGTTTAAAAGGATGTTTTTGGTGAGAAACATTTTAAGGGTATTCTGATGAGGTAGCTTTTTGGTCTTCAGTTAGTTTTTTAGTGTATTTTGCTTCCAGTCTTGTTTACATACACAAATAGGAAAGGGTGAGTATGCGAGTATGTGAGCGTGTTACAGGCTCATGAGAGTTAACCAAGATAATTGCCCGTCTTCTACAAGGGATACATTCTAATGATGTCTAGACTCTCCTATTTCATTTTTAAAAAAATATTAGTTATAGGGGATGGTGAAATTGCTTGGTGGTTAAGAGCACTTGCTATTCTTCAGAAGAGCAGAGTTTGGTTCCCAGTACCCACATCGGGTGAATCACGTCAGCCTATAGTTCCAGCTCGAGATCTAACGCTCCCTCTTTTAGCTTTGGCAGGAACCTGCACACACATGGCTTAAACTGGCACAGACACACACATATAAACAAATAATAATAAAATAAGTATCAGTGATAGCCCAGTGAAGTGAGTACTATATCTTGAATTTAGGGTTAGCTTTGTAACCTGCCTGTCACTTCCATAGTTAAAGTTCCTCATTCAGTGGTCTGGGGTTTGCTTCCTAGATTTTGAGAGCGTCTGCAGGGACTGCCTCCCCAGAACTCCGAGCTGGGCTTCATAGGTGCTCTTGGCCCTTGTCCTGCATGGACTTTGAAGAAAGGAATGGTTGCAGATGTATGTCCTGTCTCTGTTCCATAAGCACTCCATTGAGCATGACAGACCAACCTGTGTACATAGCAAGATCCTGTCTTAAAAATAAAAAACGGGGGACGCTGGTCAGTGGGAGAGTTCTTGCCTGCCATTATTTATAAGGCCCTGGCTTTAATCTCCTGCACCAAAACTCAAACAAAAGCTACTTGTGTGCTGGTTTCCCTGTGCTGTACCTGCTCGTGTGTGGCAGGTCATCTGTGCTAGAAATTGTCCCATCTACCTTTTGCCTCTGGGCTTTTACCTTTCTTTATTCTTTCTTTCCTGGGTGGCTGGCCCCTGGGGTCCTCCTCTCCTTCTCGTCGTCTTCTTCTTCTTCTTCTTCTTCTTCTTCTTCTTCTTCTTCTTCTTCTTCTTCTTCTTCTTCTTCTTCTTCTTCTTCCTTCTCCTCCTCCTCCTCCATCCTCCTCCTCCTCCATCCTCCTCCTCCTCCTCCTTCTTCTATTTATTCTCTCTGCCTGACAGCCCCACCTATCCTTTCTCCTGCCTTGCTATTGGCCATTCAGTTCTTTATTAGACCAATCAGGTGTTTTAGACAGGCACAGTAACACAACTTTACAGAGTTAAACAAATAAACATAAAAGAATGAAGCACATCTTTGCATCATTAAACAAACACTCCACAGCATAAACGAATGTAACACATCTTAAAATAATATTCCACAACATTCTATAACCTTAATAAAGGATCTATTTTACTGCAACAAATGTTGTATTTATCACTAGCCATGAATTTTGAAATTAGTTACCATATATTTGTAACATAAGGCCATTATAGAAATGGCCTGGCCATCACATGTCCACAGTTCACTTCTACATTTACAAATAGAACTTTCATGATCTGCATAAGCACACCTGTCAGTGAAGACATGACACTGAGATGCACCCTAACATCCAGGATCTGGTGTTTGGCAGACAACTATGCAAGAGAGAAAAGTATTATAGTCATTTTATTTGAGTGATCTTATATAACAAAATCAATCCAAAGTAGACTTTCAAACGTACATTCAGAAATGGTTACAGATAATAAGGGTTTGTTTGTTTATTGAGACTGGTTTCATGTGCCCCAAGTTGGCCTTGAACTTGGTATGCATATAGCCAAGGCTAGCCTGAAATTCCAGATCTTCCTGCTTCCACCTCCCAGGTATTAGGATTGTAGGCATGAGCTACCTTCCCCAGCTGATGCTTTATCAGTTTAGCTTGGTGTTTCCATTTGATTTCAGAGAGATTTTATCACATAGCTCTCGGCAGGTAGTTCACAGATCTATTTCTAAGTTTTTGAAAAGCAAGTGAGTTGTCTGCTAGGACTGTTTTTGTTTTTGTTTTTGTTTTAATTTGGAGACTATCTCACTGTGTAGCCTTGCTGGCCTAGAACTCAGAGATGCACCTGCCTCTGCCCCTTCAGTGCTGGGGTTAAAGATGTGTGCCTCCACACACAGCTACTGTGAGCTCTTAACCAGCTGCTTTTTAGAATGCTTTAGTCCACTTTGTGGAGATTACACTTTTTTAAAAGTGTTTGTCATTTGGACTTACGGAGTCTAAACGCCTTCCAGCTGCATAGATAACCATCATGCTGTGGCCAGAGCAGACTAGCCCTGAGGAGACATAATGCTTCTTGATTCATATGTGGAACCCATGTGGGACCCTGCCTACTAGAACCCGACAGGATGTAATCAGTGCAGCTGTTCAGTTGTACTCTCTACTTTGCAGATTCGTAACCAGCTTAACCAGGAGCAGAATTCCAAGCTCCAGCAGCAGAAGGAGCTCTTAAACAAGCGCAACATGGAAGTGGCCATGATGGACAAGCGGATCAACGAGCTGCGTGAGCGCCTTTATGGCAAGAAAATCCAGGCATGTGAAAGTGGACGGCTGTGAGCTAAACTGCTATTGGTGTTTCATCTAAAAGTTGCCAGTTGTTGCTGGGACTGCTGGTATACACTAAATCCCGACACTTAGGAGGTAGAGGCAGGAGATTTGTAAATTAGGGGCCTGCCGGGGCTACATAGGGAAGGTGTGTCTCAACAACAACAACAAAAATCTTGAACAAAATGCTATAGAGTTATATTTTCACAAATATTTGCTATTCTAAATTTTACACATAGAAAATGCTCTTGAACAAAAACTGAAATAGTGCAGGAATATTCACAGGGAAATCTTCCCCCTATTCTCTAGAGCTGATAATTGCTAATGTCTCTAGACTCTTACTTAATTCAGACACAAAGGTATAGAAAAGTGTGTAATTTCCAATGGAGATGGGATTGTGGTAATTACGTTAGTGGTCTGCACCTGATCTAAGATCATTCCTTTAACATCTAATGCCGTACCATGGTCCAGGGTCTGCATGCCCTTCACCACCCTCTGCATCATGCTGCCTCTCAGTGTGTGTGGGAAGCAGCACTATGCCCTGTGTCTGACTGGACACCACATCCAACCCCTCTACACCACTGGCACCCGGACTGATGTCTCCCCTGCCCTGGGTTTCCGTGCACACACTGACAGTTCGGTGACAGCTATCTTCTTGTCAGCCTCAGTCACTCCAGTGATGCTCTGAGGAGGCAGGTGTGGGCATCATAGGCTTTGCCCAGCGGAGGTGGATTTGGAGGGTGGTTGAAGACAGGAACTGGACTTCAGCATCTGTTTCTCATAGAGCTACCCTGTTTTTATACCTGAGTTTAAAGGTCAGTAATTGGAGTAGTTTCAGATGATGTTTTTTTTTTTTTTGGTTTTTCGAGACAGGGTTTCTCTGCGTAGCTTTGCGCCTTTCCTGGAGCTCACTTGGTAGCCCAGGCTGGCCTCGAACTCACAGAGATCCGCCTGGCTCTGCCTCCCGAGTGCTGGGTTTAAAGGCGTGCGCCACCACCGCCCGGCTTCAGATGATGTTTTTCTCTCAAGATTAACAACACAGAGGCCATGAGAGACAAGATTGTGTGTGCTTATTTATATAGAGTAGTGAGAGCATAAAGAGTTCTGCAGAGAGGAGGACGAGGAGGGAGAGAGGAAAAGAAAGATCTTCAGGAATTGGTCTATATGGGCTTTTTCCTATTTAAAAAATTTTTGTGTGTGTGTGTGTGTGTGTGTGTTGCCTGCATGTATGTCTGTGCCACACGCACACAGTGCCCACAAAGGCCAGAAGAGAGTGTTGGATCCTCTGGAACTGGAGTTACAGACAATTGTTAGCTGTCACGTGGGTCCTAGGAACCAAGCCCAGGTCCACTAGGAGAGCAGCCAATGTTCTCAGCTGCTAAAGCAGCGCTCCAGTCTGGCTTATGAGTTAATAAAGGCTAGCACGTCTGAAGCTGCAGCACAGAGACCTGGGAGCTTAAGTAAAGGCTGCTGCTCTAGTCCCTTCTTTCTGGGTGACTCGTTTTCCTCCAGGCCTTGCACTGGTTGCATGAGATCTACCCATCTTACAGATTGTCGTCCGTTTTACTTAGGGTCCACTAAATGTTAATCTCATGTTTTAAAAAAGGCCTCTCTAGCAACATCTAGACTACTGTTTGAGCACCTATCTTGTACCATGGCTTAGCCAAGATGTAAAAAAGTAACCAAAGAACAAAAACAAAAAACCCCACCCATCACAGAACTGATGAGGTGGTTCAGCAGCAAACACACTTGCTACCAAGCCTGACAACATGAGTTCAAGCCCAGGACCCACATGGTGCAGCTGAATGAAAGAACCAACTCCCATAACAAGTTGTCCCTGACCTCTGTCTACATTTGCACACACAATTAAAAAAAATTTAAATCACAAATAGCTAGATAGGTTATGCTGTTTCGAGGATCTTTAAAAAAAAAATTGGTGTTTTTGCAGAGATGTGGCTCTCTTAAAGATCTAGGGACTTCTGAGTGTTTGGGAAGGTCTTGAGCCTTTCCCAGTGTGCAGAATCATGCAGACAGTTTAAGGAATCCATGGTTCCCCATTTAAAGCCTTCCTAGCAAGAAGCCCATGGTCCTCTAGTTAGAATCCTATTGTACACCCTTTTGATCTTGGCCAATGTCTTCTACCTGGTTGTGTCCTTGCTTATAAAAGCAGGACTGCTCTCAGAAATGTAGGGGCCCTGTCAGGACTAGCGCATCACCTGAGCACCTTGCCCTGCATCCTTATGATAACTCTCATCCTAACTATAGATATAGACAGAGGTTCAAAGAGACCAAGTTACTGGCCTGACATAGTACAGTGAATAAGTGACAGAGAAGGATTTGAAGCCATGCTCACAGGCTTTGACCAGTACCTCTTACCACACAACATGGGGGATAGCCTTTCCTGAGTGAAAGGGGGCAGCTCATGGGTTATTGGAGCTTGTACAGTCATCATGCCAACTCCTTGTTTTTGTAGCTCACCAGTAGGTAGTGTTTAGTATGAATCAAGTTCTCTGAAGGTTCCCCTTCTACATGCTAGTCTTTCAGGGAAAGGGACTTCCCAGGTTACAAGCTGAGTGATTTTTTTCTCTCTCTTTCCCAGCCTGACTGTCTCTTGCTGAACTTAGTATTAAGAGAATCTTGACTCTGATTTCATCCTCATTGCAGCTGAACCGTGTGAATGGCACATCATCACCACAGTCACCCCTGAGCACATCTGGTCGGGTTGCTGCTGTGGGTCCTTATATCCAGGTTCCCAGTACTGGGGGATTTCCTCTCCCAGGGGACCCCGTAAAGCCCCAGTCTCTCACCATTGCCTCAAGTGCTACCCACGGAAGATCCAAATCTGGTAAGTCGTCCCAGTCCTCTCCTCTGGGGAGTGCATGGGAAGAGAGTGGTGTGGAGGCAGCGGCAGCCCCTGTCTACATTTTACCCAGGCTCTGCCTCCCGCAGCTCCCCCAGCTCCAGGTTCCTGGTCTCTACAATAACAGTGACCCTAAAACAAGAAAAAACTGTCTTGACTGATCTGAAGGTCTGGACTGTGCTTTTCAAACCACAAAGGATCAATCCCAAGGGTGCCTAGAATTCAGGCTTCTTTATCCCTAAGAACTATGACTGGGGTCTGCGACCAGACAAAGGCTGCCTTCCTGTAGACAGTGCTGTAGCTGTTGCAACTTCATCAGTCAGAAAGTCCACAAACTTGGGTGAGTTATGGGTGTGGCTGCAAAGCCATGGGTTAGGTCTCCAGCACCAGAAGTCAGGGCTAGGAGAGGGAAAAAATCCACAAACCTTCCTTTGGTCTTTGCAGCTGTTCAGTGTGATGACTCAGGCCTCCAGCACCATGCTCTAGTGCTCACTGCATGGTGTTCCAGCCAGGCATAGGGCTCTTACATGGAGAGTATGATTGTTTTTAAACCAATGGATGTATGGTGACAAGCACCTGTGATCCCAGTACTCAGGAGGCAGAAGTAAGAAGATGGCTGCAAGTTCAAGGCCAGCCTAGGCTACACAAGGAACCTGTCTAAAAAATCAGGGTTTCCTTACAGTAAGACTTTATCACTAGGGTTGGTCTGTATACACAGAATTAAGAACCTGTGCCATGGCATACTAAATGTGCATATTAAATTTGTGAAAATATTGTTCTCCTGATATAAAGCCCATGTTTTGAGTCTCCTCCCCTCACCAGGATTAGTAACCAGTTTGCAGTAGTCTTTTGTGCTGGTTGCTTGCCTTTTTTTTTTTTTTTTTTTTTTGGTGGGGGCAATGCTGTGTTTGAGACAGGATTTCTCTATGTGCCCTTGGCTGGCCTGGAACTCACTCTGTAGACCAGGCTGGCCTTGAGCTCACAGAGATCCTCCTGCCTCTGCTTTGCTGGGATAAAGTCATGTACCACCACACCAGGCATGTTTGCTTCCTATTGCTTGGCACCTACTATGCAGTTTAATCTCCCGTTCTGGCTCCTTCTGACTGTAGTCAAGGGGGTTTCCCCACCCTCGTGGGCCAGAACCCCACCCAGACCTCTTTATGACCAGGTATGAAAGTCAAGTGGGTTCTGTGTTCAGCTTGACCCCTCATTGCATCTTTCATTGGTAAGCAGTTGTGTGAGTCCCCTATCCGTGGTAAGTGTGTGTGAATGTTTCAGTGGCAAATGAGCTATGTCCTCATCTGCTGACTCGGCTGTTAAAAGTTCCAAGCTGGGTGGTGGTGGCACACACCTTTAATCCCAGCACTCGGGAGGCAGAGCCAGGTGGATCTCAGTGAGTTCAAGGCCAGCCTGGTCTACAGAGTGAGATCCAGGGCAGGCACCAAAATTACATAAAGAAACCCTGTCTCGAAAAACTTAAAAAAGTTCCAAGTTGAGAACATCACCTGTTTCCCACTCCCTACTTGAGTGCTTTGTAGCCTCATAAGGTTGCCAGAAGTTGCCATTAACCACATTCCTTCCATTGTAGCTGAAAGCAGCTTGCACAGGTTTCCTGTGTGAACCCAAGCTGGGACTAGGATCTCAGCTGTGGAGCTAGGATGAGAAGTTCTCCTTAAGGGGACTCTGATCCCTGGTTGGCAATCTTGGTTCTGTGTTACACAGATGGCTACAGTAGAAGTAGAGTGATCAGCACATGGACAGTATCAGACCTGGACGTCGGGCCTGATTGCAGTTCCTCACGGCACTTTGAAAGCCTGCTTGTAAACTGTATGTCATCTGATAGCCTTATTGGGACACTTTTGATCTCTAACACAAACTGAATCAACAATCATTTGTTTTTCCAAACTGACAAAGGACTGTTCATCGCCTCTGTGCTTGAAAGCAATACTGTGCTAATGTGCCTGCCCCTTCTAATCCAGTTGTGGAGTTGGGGGAAGGGGCCCATACATGGGCCTCCACAGACAACGTTGGACACCGAGGGACAGATGCTGGCATAGAAAGTGTAAGCTGCTCCAGGATGTTCTGCAGGACCCACCAGACCAGTTCAGAAACAAGCAACCCTCCCCCGCCACACAGTCTAGATGAAGTGCTGGGCATAGTGGCACACACTAGGAGGCTGAAGAAGGACTGAAAATTCTAGGCCAGGCTGGGCTACATGGTGAAACCCTACCTCAGAAAACAAGAATGGAGGAGATTTTCTGAGTTACTTATGAGGCTTGTCATAATTGAAGGTCCTTTGCTTTGCAATACAAAATATTAAGTGGCTACCTGTGATACCTACCTTGTCCTGAAGAAAAAGTTGTTTTTCAGTCCTCTCATGGCTGCTTCCCATAAAACTTCCCATTGCTATGGGATTTCTGAGGCTACCGGGCAGCCATAAATATTCCCATGACCTTGAGAGCAGTAAAGCCCAGCCCAGCCCACCTACTCACACCATGGGCCTCCAGTTGGCCTTGCTTTCCCAGTAAGCTGAGTTTTCACCTGGGTCCTCTAGTGAGTTTTGTATAGCCTTACTCCCAGTCACCCAACCAAAAGGGAGTGAAAGCTCACACCCTTGTCAGGAAGAGGCTGACGGACTGGAAAGAGGTGATAGTTTGTGTTAGGCTCCGAAACATTTGACCAGTGCCGGGTTGGCCCTGCCTTGTTGGAGCCCTGTGACTTAGCACTGTAGTTACTGGATAGTGCAAAGCAGCCAGAGCGTGCAGGGCAGCTGTGGTCCATGCCACTGGTCTGGTGGGTCCTGCAGAACATCCTGGAGCAGCTTACACTTAGAACTGCTGCTCAGTTATCCCCCACTCACGGCTAATTCCTGCCCATGCCTAGCTGCTGTGGGATTGTGCCTGTCAAAGAGCAGCAAAGGCCTAAGTCAGGGCAGACAGCTAACCCAGTTCCAGGCCACTTGTGTGCACCCCTTTTCAGTTTGGAAAATGCTCGGTAATAAACAAATCTTCTGAATTTCCTGGAAACTTGGGGTTGAAGACTGGCTTCCTAATCGTTGCAACAAAATGTTAGCTGCTGCTCCTGCTGCTACCCAATCAGCTCACAAATTGTTGTAGAGGGAAAGAATTCCGCACATTAAAGGAGAAATTTTATTCTAATAATGGAAATCATACAAATCAAATCTATTATGAAGCCAAATGATGTCTTTTCATGTTGCTGTATGTGATCGTGTGTATAAGTAGTGCCTGGTAGGTAAGTGCTGCTGTGTTCTGTGCTGTGGATATTGGACTTGACCTGTATTCCAGTGTGATGCAGTCCTCACCACAGTGTTGGTGAGTGCTGGTCACAGTGGCCAGATGATAGTCAAGATCACTCCTTGGGCTTATGCAAAGGTCTGTGGGCTTTGAGCAAATTAATAAGCATGCAGGTGTTGGTTGATGGCTTAGGTAATGGAAGTCCCGGTGCTGTATTTGTTTCTGGCTCAACTAATTTCAACACTTTTTTTCCCCTTAAATTCTATGGTCTTTTCAAGCTAATGATGGAAACTGGCCAACATTAAAGCAGAATTCTGCTTCAGTGAAGTCAACTCAGATGGCTGGTGGAGACTGGAAGGACTCAGGCATGGAGGGGGCTCTGAAGCAAGGTGCCATCTCAAGCCAGCCTTTGCCCTTGCCAGCGCTGGGAGCTACAGAAAAGCTGGTAGGTCATCTGGCTTTAATCTGCCCGCAGTGAGTTTCCCTGTTGTTCTGATCTTCAGCTCAGGGGTGTGAGGTAGCATGAAGACAAGTCAGCTCTGTTACTGTCTACCTTACACTCCGAGTCCTAAACAGCCGCTGGCCCTTAGGGGCCTGAGCATGCTCAAGTGCAGACCAGTATTGAGCCTGATAGTGTGTCTTATGTCCTTTTGAAGGCTTATAAATCCTACTGTGTGCTGTTGTAAATGGATAGAAATATGTTTAACCTTCCAAAGAGTAACTTAGTGTTTTCTTCTTATAAACTTAGGGCATCGAGATTGGCAAAGGGCCACCTCCCATCCCTGGTGTAGGCAAGCCACTACCCCCAAGTTATGGGACATACCCAAGTCCTGTGCCCCTGGGGCCAGGATCAACAAGCTCCCTGGAGAGAAGGAAAGAAGGCAGCTTGCCCAGACCTGGTGCAGGCCCACCAAGTCGGCAGAAACCTGCCCCGCTGGCTCCAACAGGCAACGCTCCCCAGCCTGGCTCCTCGCAGCAGATTCAGCAAAGGATCTCAGTGCCACCAAGTCCCACATACCCACCAGCGGGGCCACCTGCCTTTCCAACTGGAGATGGAAAACCTGAGCTTCCCTTGACAGTGGCCATTAGGCCTTTTCTGGCTGATAAAGGGTCAAGGCCACAGTCTCCCAGGAAGGGACCTCAGACAGTAAATTCAAGTTCTATATACTCCATGTACCTGCAGCAAGCCACACCACCTAAGAATTACCAGCCACCAGTGCATGGCACCTTAAATAAGTCAGTGAAAGCAGGTATGCTGGCTGTATACTCTCTGAAATGGAAGTTATCCCTTAATTAAGATCTGTGTCCTTGCATGCTACTTAGGATAAAACATAATTCTTAGATAAAGTATAGGGTGTCAATTTGGGATGGAAATAAGAGACAAAATGCACAGTAATTTTGCAGGCAAATCACACACTGTGACTTCCTGCCTGGGTACCCACATATCACTCAGTAGTAAATCCAGAAGGATAAGACTTCTGGAATTTCATTTTTCTCCAGCTTTAGGGTAATTTGTGCCATTAGTTATCCAGTGATTGGGGGGTGGACCTGCTGGACATTGCTAAGTCAGCATCCTGGACATGGGCAGTGTGAGGAGCTTTCAGGAAGGACAGCCTGGAATGGGTGATTGAACAAGGGCCTTCTAGGAAGGCTAGTGAGAAGGTACAACACAGTTCTACATGCCTCATGGAGGTCAAAGAGTTTCCCATCCTAGCTGGAAGGTTCTGTGGACCAGGTCAGGGCTGTAGCATCCAAACTTGTAGTTTGATTCCTGGGTGTGTTTAGCCATCACCTGCCAAGGACCTCCCAAGTAGTGTGATCTGTGGGCACAGTTCTGGCCATGGGAGAAGCTTTTGAGCCACAGGTCAGATGTGTCCTGCTCCAAAGAGATAAGTATCTTCATGTTGCCTGAGTCAGTCCCAGACTCAGATGCAGATTTAGTGGATTTGGCATTTTTCCTTGGCCAGAAAACTAAGCAGACTTGTTGGAGTGGGAAAACTCAGGTCAATAACTTTTTCTTTAGAAAGAGCCCAGTCTTGGAAGCAAATATAAAACCCAGTTTAAAGGGAGTGAGTGGAGGGTCTTGGAAAAGGTTTGCTGAGGATTCAAACATCAGAACCCACCAGCAATAGAAGCTTCTATGCCATCCAGTCAGTGCCAGGGAGACGATCTACCACAGCAGCAAGGATGAATTCTGTCCTCTGTTTCTCTTGTAGTATATGGTAAGCCTGTCCTGCCGTCAGGGTCAGCATCTCCATCACCCTTGCCATTTCTTCATGGGCCGCTGGGCCCAGGCACGACACAGCCTCAGCCTCCTTCAGAATGTGCTGAGAAAGAGCCAGAACAGGAAGGCCCCCCTGGACCTGGAGAAGGCAGCACAGTGGAAAGCCTGCCGCGGCCACTCAGTCCCACCAAACTCACCCCCATTGTGCACTCGCCACTTCGTTATCAGAGTGATGCGGACCTGGAGGCCCTCCGCAGGAAGCTGGCCAATGCACCCCGACCCCTGAAGAAGCGCAGCTCTATCACAGAGCCGGAGGGCCCTGGAGGCCCCAACATCCAAAAGTTGCTGTATCAACGCTTCAACACCCTGGCTGGTGGCATGGAGGGTACCCCTTTCTACCAGCCCAGCCCTTCACAGGACTTTGTAGGCACCTTAGCAGATGTGGACAATGGAAATACCAATGCCAATGGCAACTTGGATGAGTCTCTCCCTCCCCGGCCCACAGCCCCACTTCCTGAGGAGCTTGCCCCATCCTCAGATGCCAACGATAATGAGTTACCTTCCCCTGAGCCAGAGGAGCTCATTTGCCCCCAAACGACTCATCAAACTGCTGAGCCTACTGAGGACAATAACAACAATGTGGCTACAGTACCCTCCACAGAACAAATCCCAAGTCCTGTGGCTGAGGCTCCTTCAGAGGAGGAACAAGTCCCTCCAGCACCTCTATCCCCTGTCATTCATCCTCCAGCAACATCTGCGGTGGGTATCCTTGCTAGACCAAAGCCAGGCATGCCCTTGCATGCAGAATAAGATGTGGGGACAGGATAGTCAGATGATCACAGACCAGAGGGTCCAAAGCATAGTGCATGGTACCCAGTAAGCTCGTTTACACTGACACCTCCATGACAGACAGACGGGGAGAGAAGCAGAGCCTCCCTGAGGAGATCAATATTGATTCAGCAGAGGGTTTGGGACCATCTCAGGGAATCCACATAAGGCTTTCTTTTTTGGTTTTTCACTGTCTATCCCTGGCTGTCCTGGATCTCACTCTGTAGACCAGGCTGGCTGCAAACTCAAAGATCCGCCTGCCTCTGCCTCCTGAGTGCTGGGATCAAAGGTGTGCGCCACACTGCCAACCCACACAAGGCTTTCTTAATGGGATCTCTGAGATGGGATCAATAGGGATGAGCTGACTCCCTTGGTGCGGACTTCTGGTTCAGCAGTGCAGCTACCACTCCCGCCCTCTAGTCCTCCTAGAGTGGTTAGCAGCCTCACCTAGTCAGCCACTCTACACATGGCCAGACCTTTGCAGAGCGTCACAGGGCTGCTCCTGGGAACTGTTGCCTTAGTTCCTGACACCCCTTCCCACAGCAGTGTCTTGGATTGGTCCTTGCCTAGGGTAGGTCACCTGACACTGAAATGCTTGCTGCCCTACAGAGCAAACGGACCAACCTGAAAAAGCCTAACTCTGAACGAACAGGACATGGGCTGAGAGTGCGCTTCAACCCTCTCGCGCTGCTTCTAGATGCTTCTCTGGAAGGAGAGTTTGATCTCGTGCAGAGGATCATCTACGAGGTGAGCCATATTCCCGTATGTGCAGCTGGGAGTTTAAAGGGCTGGCCTTCACGTGCTCTGTGTCCTAGGTGGAAGACCCTAGCAAACCCAATGATGAAGGGATCACACCCCTGCACAATGCTGTCTGTGCTGGCCACCATCACATCGTGAAGTTTCTGCTGGACTTTGGGGTCAATGTGAATGCTGCTGACAGCGATGGATGGTGAGAACCCATGGGGAGTGGGAAGTGGAAGGGCCCAGAGACTCACTTCCTCCTACCTTACAAAAAGAAATGATAAAAACTTTAAAAAATTGAGGTAGGAGGTGATGTCACACAACTTTAACCCCAGCACTTAGGAGGCAGAGGCAGGCAGATCTCTGAGTTCAAGGCCAGCCTGGTCTACAGAGCAAGTTTCAGGGCAGCCAGGGTTGCACAGAGAAACTATCTCAAAAACCAAGAAAAAAGAAAATTGAGAATCGTTAAGAGGAAGAATACCCCTCATTCATTCCTAGAAAGCTGTCGTCAGCATTTTGCTGTTTCCGTCTTTTTCTCTCCTGTTACAGATACTGCTGTTTATGTTCTTCATATGCCTTATTAAGCACTGTAGTTATTTGCTCTTCCTATTTTCAGACATTCTATATGAAATATAAATCCTATAGAAATTCTACATGGAAAAGAGCCTCAGGATTCCCCTCTGTTAATAATTAGGTGTTTGTGAATATTTCCATTTGCATCCAGGATCAGGCCCATTGGTCTGCTGTAGGATTATTTTGAACTGCCAGACAGCTCTTAACCTATTTTTTTTAAATTGTGACAAGAGAGCAAGGGAGATTGCTCAGTGGGTAAAGTGTTTGCTGTGAAGGGAGGTGATCCCTAGTACCCATGTAAAAGCTGGTGTAGTGGTACATGCCTGTAATCCCGTAGCTGGGGGCAGGAGACAGGAAGATGCCATGGCCTTGCTAGCCAGAACAGTTCCAGGTTCAATTAGAGACTGTATTTAAAAACGGTGGAGAATTGCCGGGCGGTGGTGGCGCACGCCTTTAATCCCAGCACTCGGGAGGCAGAGCCAGGCGGATCTCTGTGAGTTCGAGGCCAGCCTGGGCTACAAAGTGAGCTCCAGGAAAGGCGCAAAGCTACACAGAGAAACCCTGTCTCGAAAAACCAAAAAAAAAAAAAAAAAAAAAAAAAAAAAACGGTGGAGAATCAATTGAAGAAGAAGATACCACAAGGTCATCCTTTGGCCTCCACTTGCACCTACACAGAGTACACATGTGCATACACATACACAATTATTATCTTAGCCAGTTGTAAATAAATGTTTGTTTAAATGTGTTATAAGTGTTGACATTGCTCTGCATGAGCATCTACTATTACATGGGCCATTTCTTGATCCATACCTTGTCACACTTTTCCAAAGATTTACACACCGTCTAAGTAATTAACCAAGACTTTAAAAACTAGAAACACCAGGCGGCGGTGGCACATGCCTTTAATCCCAGCACTCAGGAGGCAGAGGAAAGGCAGATCTCTGAGTTTGAGGCCAGCCTGGTCTATAGAGTGGGTTCCAGGACAGGCTCCAAAGCTACAAAGAGAAACCCTGTCTTGAAAAACAAAACAAAACAAAAAAAGTATTTAAACTAGAAATTTGGAAGATGGATGTAACATCACACACCTTTAATCCCAGCACTTGGGAGACATTGGTAGTTGGATCTCCGAGTTCAAGGCCAGCCTGGTCTATAGAGCAAGTTCCAGGACAGCTAGGACTACACAGAGAAACTCTGCCTCAAAAACAAACAAAACAAAAAGCAAGTTGAAACTTGGGATTCCAGAGATGCCTCGGTGGTTAAGAGCATTGAGTGCTCTGATCCAAAGGACCCAGGTTTGCTTCCCAGCACCCACATGACAGCTCATAATCATCTGCACTCCAGTCCCAGGAGATCAACTGACACCCTTATCTGGCCTTTGCATGTACATGATGCACATACATACATGCAGGCAGAACACCCATACACATAAAATTAACAAAATACCTAGAAACTTGCCTGGCACAAAGGTACGGTACCTTCATCAAAATTCTTGGAGGTTTGTTACACAGGAGCCAGGTAGCCCTGGCTGATGCCAGACTATACATTTCCCCTCTGGTTCTAGGACCCCACTGCATTGTGCTGCCTCTTGCAACAGTGTCCACCTCTGCAAGCAGCTGGTGGAAAGTGGAGCTGCTATCTTTGCCTCCACCATCAGTGACATTGAGACTGCTGCAGACAAGTGTGAAGAGATGGAAGAGGGATACATCCAGTGTTCACAGTTTCTATATGGTATGTAGGAAAGCTCATGTGCCTCAGCTGCTTCCCCTGGCTAATCAGCATTGTGTCCCGTATGCTGGCCTAGAGTCTGAGCAGATCACGCTTAAGTGTTCATTGCCTTTACACTCACCCCAAACATCTGAAAATTCCATTTGTATCTGAGTGGTACAAACCTATAATCCTCGCACTTAGAAAGCTTTAGGAAGACCACAAGCTTCAGGCCAACCTGACCTACATAGTGAGACTGCCTTAAACAAAAATCCCATCAGGAAGATTCTGTTCCAGTTGCTGAATAGTAAGAATGCCCTGGAGGGATGGAGGGATGGAGGGATGGCTCAGAGGTTAACAGCACTGGCTGCTCTTCCAGAGGTCCCGAGTTCAATTCCCAGCAACCACATGGTGGCTCACAACCATCTGTAATGAAATCTGGTGCCCTCTTCTGGTGTATAGGCATACATGCAAGCAGAACAGTGTATACATACTAAATAAATTAATCTTTAAAATAAAAAAGAATGCCCTGGATTCAGGAGGACAGTGGGTACAATGGTGGCGCACACTTTTAATTCCAGCACTGGGGAGGCAAAGGCAGGTGGGTCTCTAAGTTTGAGGCCAGCCTGGTCTACAAAGTGAGTTCCAGGACAACCAAGGTTTTCCGGGGGAAAGTGGAATACCCTGGGGTCCCAGGAGTGGGAGCTGCATTTAGCCAGGCAGCACTGGTCTACACACTTGCTGTTGGGTGCATGAATTGAAGCAGGGCGATTCCACTTCTGTGCCGGCTTGGGGCCATCTACACACCTCAAGCGCCCTAACTAAGTTGCTGTAGCCAGTGTAAGAAATATAGGAGCTCAACCATGTCCTCTGTTAAGCAGTTACAAGTCACTGGTTCCACATACAACTCTGTGAAGTTACTGTTTGGCTAGTGGTACAAGCAATAACAGCCAAACTACCCTTGATACTGAACTCCCACAACAAAGGCAGGCAACACCATTCTTGGGTATTAATGAAGCTGGGCAGGCCCAAGGGCCCTGGCAAACCCAGCCCATGTGAGGAAGAGGCTGCTGTCACATAGGCTCCCGCTAAGAGAAAAAGGTTTCTCAGCAGTGATAGCAACGATAGGCCTGAAAGGAGACCCTGTGTGACCTTGTGCTTCCAACACCCAAGGTGCAAGCCACCATGTGCAGCTGGTTGGTTGCTACTCAGTGCAGTCACAGCTCCCCTACCTGATGACTGACTGCCCAAAGTTCGCTCTTGATGTAACTTGGGGTTTCCATTACCTCTGTTGGCCACCCTCTGCTAAAGCCTCTTCTCTTTTTGGTTCCAGGGGTACAAGAGAAGCTGGGAGTGATGAACAAAGGCACTGTGTATGCTTTGTGGGACTACGAGGCCCAGAACAGCGATGAGCTGTCCTTCCACGAAGGGGATGCCATCACCATCCTGAGGCGCAAAGATGAAAATGAGACTGAGTGGTGGTGGGCTCGTCTTGGGGACCGGGAGGGCTATGTGCCCAAAAACTTGCTAGGGGTAAGTAAGCACTCAGCACACTTAGACCTGAGATACTGGAAGTCAGCTGGCCTTGTTGTGTCTGTACAGACGTCACAAAGACATTCAGGGCATGGGTTCAGTTCTGCTGACATCAGGGTAGAATGAAACACTTTTTCCCAAGCCCTAGCAGTCTGATCTGTATATGGGCAAGCCCCTGAGTCTCTAGAGTCTGGCTTTCCACATGGCAGAGCATGTGGGGAGGTTAGAGTCAATCTGCTTTGCTCATGGTGAACTTTGGTAAGTACTAAGCCACGCCACTTAGTTCTCCCTGATCTGGAATTCTCTAAGAGCTGGGTGTAGTAACACACACTGTAATCCTAGTGCTTGGTTGTTTTGTAACCCCTTCCCTCTCCTGAGCTGACAGCTGAACCCAGGGCCCAAGCAAGTGCTCTACCACTGAGCTAAATCCCCAACCTCTGTAATCCTGGCATGTGGAAGGCTGACGTAGGATGGAAAAGTTAACTGCCAGCCTGGGGTAGAGACCTGATTGCTCAAAAGCCTGTAAAATGGAGCAGTGTGGGTTGTCATCCAGGCTGCATTCATAATGGTGTCTGTCCGTCCTTGAATAGAAAGGTTGCCTCTGCTCTCGGGTGCTGTGGCACATACTCACTTGCCTTGACATCTGGCAGGAAGGTTTGCCATGACAAGCACAGGTGCTTGCACCCGAGGAGCTTACATTGTCAGGGGCCTAGCAGAAAGTAACAGGGTTTCAGGTGTGATTAAAAAGAGGGACAGGATCCTCTGGGTCTCAGTGAAGAAGAGGACAGCTGAGGTTAGGACTGAGCAGGCTGCTGAGATGACAGGAGAGGAACCTAGAAGCTAATCCCTTCTCAGTCATCCTTTTGACCTAACTCTTGTCTGTTGCTTCCCAGTTGTATCCACGGATCAAGCCCCGGCAGCGAACACTTGCCTGAACTCTCCCTGGAGTACCACATTGGCTCCTGGGAACTACTGGAAAGGATTCCAGCGGCCCTGGAGAAACTGAAGTTAGGCCAGTCTCATGGTGCTCACTTTAGCAGACAGTATCCACAATGTGAATCCCAGCTTCCCAGGGGAGGCCCTTCCAGTCTGCAGTAACTGGACAGGTAGTACTTTGGCCTTCAGAAGACTGCATTTTTGCCAATTACTGTAAATCCAAATAAATATCCAGCTTCCAAAACACCCACCCCTGTTGCCAGTCAGCAGTCCTAAACTATGAACCCTGACGGTTGCCAATGAAGACAAAGCTCTGACTGACTCGGCCCACAGGCCCCTTCTCATGTTCGATGTCTCCGACCTTCAGCAAAAGCAAGCTGCTACCAGATGGCTCTGGCTACAGCCCTGCCCTCCTTGGAAAGTCTCAGAACCATCATCCTTTCTCACATTCCCACTCAAGAGAACTTGATTTCCTTTCACTACCAAAGGAGCCCATTTAGAAACTGTTCTGTTTAGTTAACCTGATGAGCTCATGCTGTGGCTGGACTTACATGCCTCAGCACACAGGGTCATCTGATTCCTGCAGCTTTTAGTGTCCTCTTTAGCCCCCCTGCGGCGTGAGTTCATTCTGTTCTGAGCGCAGTTAGACACAGGAGGCTGGGCAGGGCCCAGGTCAGGAAAGCCACCAGGCAGCTGGAATGCAGTCACTGTGGCCGCATTCCAAGTGAGGCCAGCTCTATCCTCGGGAGCTTGAACTCTGCAGACAGGCTTTTTCTACACTAAGATTATTTTTCAACTAGGCCGTTGAAAACTACTAGAACTGTGTTGGAAATATTTCTTCCTCATTGAAACACAAGCCCTTAGGCTTTATTTTTCATGTGAGTCTTGTGCATAACTACGTGTAAATCCGTGTGTAGGCTCTGGGAGCAGTGCTGTAGTCAGGGTGGCGCTGAGAAGTGATGCCCTGTGAGCAGCACAGCCTCTGCCATCCCACCACCACCAATGCTGTGTGACATGCACAATAAACTGCTGTCTCACACCTGGCTGTGAGTCTGTGTTCTGGACGCAGGACAGCTACACAAAGTGAGGCCAGAGCCTGCTGTGTGCTTTCAAAATAAGTTTTAATCATACGCTTTATATACAAATTACTGTACAGTCATTTTAATAAAGTGAATAGTAAGTGAAAAGTAGAAAACACAAAGGTGATGCCTCCCCCTTAGTGACATATAAAAGGACTGTTCATTGCCCCAAATTAGTGACAAAATAAATGGAGAGTCATAAACAGGCTAAGGCATTGTAAATGGGCTACTGGAGATAGGCAGGGTCCAATGCTCAACCAGGGACCTGAGTGAACACCACCTAATTTGTTTCTGTAGGAACAGGGCCAAAAATCTCTAATAAACCTGGTATAGGTTATACTAAAACTGATTCAGTACTGTAGTGCAGCTTCTCCCAACCCTGAAAGTACCAACGATCCACTACAATGTCAGCTCTTGAAAGCGTTAATCAACTGTGTACATATTGCACTAGATACGCGAACACTGCTTCCACATACTTGATTTGCATTTCCAAGCACACACAGAGCAGAGCCCTGAGTGCTCAGGCAGGGGCAAGCAGCTTGGACTTTGTAACCTGATGTGCTGGGCTCAGTTCCCTTGCAGTTACTGGTCTCGTGATTCATAGAGGAGCTTGGTAGCCTGCAGAATACCAGAAAGCATGATTGGTTCTGGGCCTGATCAGAGATGAGCCCATGTGCCTTTTAGGGGAGTAACTAGGGGCATCCCAGTTATGTGGCAACCTTTTGGGAAATACACACTTGTCTCTAACTCCATGCGCTCAGCCTCCCCAGCCCTGCCCACAGTACCTTGTGCATGGCTGCCAGCCATGCTGCTGCCTGCCTCTTGCTGCCGTTTGCATCCTCTCCAGCCATCAGCCTCAGCTGTGTTGCAGCCTCTGCCCCTGGCACTGTGTACTGCAGGAACATCCCTGTGGCTCGAGTGCTGCCCGCTGGAGGAGGGAGATGAGGTGTCATACGGGACCCTAAGGCCCTGTGCGCTGCTCAGGAAGCAGCCTCGTTGGAAACATGCAGTGCTAAGTGATACTAGCTCCTGCTTCTGCAGAGACCCCGTGTGCACAGAGAAGGGGAAAGGAACATAAAAGACTTGTGAGCCCCAGGACCAGGATAAACTAAAGATAACATATCACTAAACTTCACAGAGTAAGTCCTGTTCTCCAACAGTCCAGAAGCTGCCAAGCCTTCTAGATCATGGCATTCTCCTTCCAACCTTCAGAGAGACCACATGCATGCGTGTGTGTACACACACACACACAGTCTTCAGCCAGAGTAGAGCAGTGAAGTATGGAAACGACTTTAGGAATGGCCTGGCCATCAGAAGATAAGCCGAGCACATAGTTACATCAGTCCTGACTTGGAGGCCACAGCCGGGCAGACTTGATGCAGGAGCAATGCCACACTACCCTGTCAAGTGCCATTCTTCCACAGCTCACAGGACCCCATGGGAATGTTGGGGGTCAGCCTGCCAAGCCACAGCTCCATCTCTGAGCTATGACCAGCTGCTCTGAGCTTCATGATTTGAATTTAGGCTGTGCCCTAGAAACAAGCAACTTGAGACGCAGATTAGTTCTGTCAGGCATGGTTACTAGCCTCGTGACCAGAAAAAAAACATTTTGAGAAATGACCCACCTCTAATCACACATTAATTCTAAATCAAAACAGCCTGGGTCCCACTGGCCGGTGGGGTGAGTTGAACATACAGACCATAGCCAGGAAGAGGCCTGACTTCCTTGCCTGCAAAAGCTCTGGCTAAAATGGCTGGGCCCACCTCAAAGGCTTTCTGAAGTAAGTTCTAATTCAGAGGCCTAGAAACACACCGAAGGCCTCGGGCTGAGCTGCCCTACCCAAGCTGTTGCAGAACTTCCTATCTGGGCTATGTCTACCCTCAGCTTTTGTAAATAAAAATGTATGTAAATGTGGCCATGGCCACTGTTGGCTGTGGCTGTTTTGTGCTTTGCACGGCCATCAAAACTTTACCCCCCAATGGGGGCTATCGAGATGGTTCTGCAATTAAGAGCACTGATTGCTCTTGCAGAGAACCTAGATTCAGTTCCCGGCACCTACACATGGTAGCACAACCATTTGTATCTCCAGTTCTAGGGGAGTCAACACATTGTTCTGCTCTCTAGACACTAGAGGCATGTGCATGGTACATTCTTGACCTTAGGCTTCCTGATGGGGGGGGGGCAGGGTGAGGAGGTATTGAGTGGACTTTCTGACCCTGCCCTTGCTCCATGCGCCAACCTTGTTGTATTTCATTAGGCAGGCCTCTTACCACTACCTTCAAGAGACAGACAGAGACGGAGGAACTGAGAACCAGGAATCCCTGCAGGCAAGCTACTGTGGGTGCAGTGATGAAAACTGCTGCCCACCGCATGTACCGGATGCCCGATCAGCAAAGGACTACCTACACACCAGGCCTCGGCCTACTGGGAAGAACTGGGCAAACTGAACTTTATTCTGTCAGGACATTTTCACTTATGCTTTACAGATTCATATACTGGACCTAGTACCTCTCTCAATCAAAAGAGGTGAACCCAAGTTTCAGAATCCACCCCAAGGGACAGAGGCAAAGGGGCCAGAGGAGGAACAGATACCATAGCATGCTGGGAAGAGTGACCCAGGGAGGATGGAGGCTGACCTTCAGAGGCAGGCAGGCTCCCCAGGAGGCTGGTGTAAGTGTGAATGTCTTTTTCTACTTGAAGAAGGTAGGCAGGCAGTGCAAAGAAGAAACAACCGAGAGTCAGTCAGAAAATGGAAAGCAAGATGCGCTAGGTCAATCTGCAAGTTCAGAATGTGCCATGTGCAGTTCAGCCTGCAGGGTGGAGCTAAGACTGAAGCTCACCAAGGAGATCACTAAGGTCTTAGCTGCACAGATGCCTGCAGGAGGCTCCGGATCAGCCCCCACCACAGACCGTGTCTGGAGCCTCAGATACTGCATCTGGAGCCATCTACAGTAAGTAGGTGATCTCGGTGACAGGATACCATGGGCACACCAGACCAATCTCCCCTCATCATCCCCTCCTCCCTCCTGTGGGTTCTAAAGTTACTAACTTAACACAAGCCCCGATGAAGAGCATGACAGGCCATCTTAGAACCAAGTGCAGTACCTCCTGTTGCCCATATAGGTACTAGAGACCCTCCTGCTCAGGAAAGGCATGTACCTCCAGGAGTGAAGCCTTCTGTGAGAATCTGCACGGTACAGACATGTGCAATCTCAATCTCACGATGGCTGTCCCCATCCAGAATCAAGCATCTACAACAAACAGACATCATGAGACTGAGGACGTGTAAAGCCTATGAGGGTACTGCCCGGTGCCAGTGGGACTTCGCCTCTTACCTCTGATTGTTGGAAAGACGACAAACCATGGTCTCAGGCTTCTCTGAGTCCCCAGAAGTAACAAGGAAGGTAGCTCCTTGGAAGACAAAACCAAACTGGTTACACAGGACCTACTGCTTTATCTCCCTGCCCCCAGACCCATGTGCTCAGGACAGAAAAGCCTCCTTCCTCGTGACCAGATGGGAGAGGACAGGCTGACACAAATAACAGCTTTGTGTTAAGGATCCTTTCAGTTAGGCAAAAAGGCAATAATGAATTAAGGGTCTCAAAAGCTAAAAAAGACATTGACTAGGGCTTGAGATGACTCAGTGGTTAAGAGCACTGTTCTCTCAGAGAACCTAGGTTCAATTCCTAGCACACACATGGTAGCTTAGAACTGCCTGTAACTCCAGTTCCAGGAGAACGCATGAGGCAGACACATGGTGCAGACATGTGTAGGAAAAATGCCCACCCACAAAGAGTAGAAATAAAGGCACTGACTGCCACACACACAAAGCTGTGAACTTTGCCACAGCCATCAAAGACGGCAAGTAGGAGAGTTCATCATCAAGGCCCAGATCATTTAACTCTAGAGCAGACTGGGCAAGACCAAATGGCAGAGCAGAGGCCGGCCCTCGCCTGTGAGAGGCTGTGCTGCTTGGCAGAGCTGTGGGAGGCAGGCTGCACCCAAAAGCACTCCCTTTTCTTCTCCCGTGTGCTCCTTGGATGGGCTTCAGGACCTGCACCTGCACCTGTTACAGCTTATCTCCAGGCCTCTGCGAGCCAAGCCACAGACTTGACTACCAGTGACAGCCTTCCATCTGGAGAAGGTGCTGAGCCAGGCGCCCTGTCCATCTGGGGGCAGTGCCCAGTGAGTCAGACTGACCTCTCAGAACATTTCCATCTCGGAAGTCCATCTCTAAGTCCAAAAGAAAGTAGGGAAGAGGGCAAGACACACCATCTTGGAGCAGGCCACATTTTAAGCATGGCGAGTGGACATGCTGTCACTTACCACTTAGGAGCACCTTGAGCTGCTTGTCATAAAACTCAGCCTCGCGGTGAGACACCAGGGCACATTCAGCACACTGGCGCACTGGGTCCACGAAGCACATGCGCCGGAGCGGCACCTTCTGGCTGCAGCACCTGTCGCAGAAGCATTTCCCACAGCGGCGGCAGTGGTGCTGATGAGGGTGAAGGTTGGGCAGTGAGTAGAGTCAACACAGATGCACCAGGCCCGCTCCGCTAGCCAGTCCTGTCGGGACCCTGAATGCATCTGTGGCTGTATGTGTCACTTCCACACAACCCCAGCTGGACACAGCAGAGCTCTGCCTCACTTGGGAAAATTGAACCGGAAGAGCCACCTGCCGTGTGCGCGCGCGCGCCTGTCTGCCTGCCTGCCTCGTGTTTGAACCCAGGGCCTTGTACATTCTAGGTAAGCCATTCAATCACTCAGCTACAACCCCAGCCCTTAACCCCTTCAACTTCCTGCTGCCCAGTACATGCTGTCTCTGAGCCTCCTCGGAGCTCAGTCCTGCCTGTTACACCAGTAACTGAAATAGACTATCAAAATGCCCTGGAAGATCCAGCTCTTCTGAGGAATTGGGACACACAGACACACACACACCCACAGCCTCAGCTTACCTTTCTGGTGATAAAGTCAAATTTGGCATCACACTGCATACATCTTGGACACTAGGAGAGAACATAACAGTATTATAATCCGCCGGGCGGTGGTGGCGCACGCCTTTAAACCCAGCACTTGGGAGGCAGAGCCAGGCGGATCTCTGTAAGTTCCAGGCCAGCCTGGTCTACTGAGCGAGATCCAGGAAAGGCGCAAAGCTACACAGTGAAACCCTGTCTCGAAAAACAAACCCCTCCCCCCCCCCCCAAAATAAAACCAACAACAGTATTATAATCCAGATCTGTCACTTGGCTAATTGCTGAGGTTGAGCCAAGAGGTGCCAGGAAAGGCTGCAAAGAAAGCCAACTTTCTGCCAGTATAAGCAGCCTGCAGAGGCAGACTATGGAACAGCAAGGCAGGACAGCCCAAGTTCAGTGTCCAGCTCAGAAGCCAGACAAGACTGGTCAGGCCACAGTCCAAGGCTCTAGGTTAGGAGAGCAGCTTTAAGGTTGCAGGCGCCCTAGCTGGGGCCTGGCCTGAATGTCTGATGGCCACTCTTTTGTGGGGTGCAAAAGCATACAGTTTGACTTTTTTGCAGCAGAGTTCAGATTCAGAAGGGCTTTGTTCTTTCAGACTCTGTATGCAGGGGCAGCTCATTCTAGCTGCCTCATCCTGTTACAGGAGCCAAAGATCAGTGCTGTGAAATGAACGTGACACTCCACAGCAGTAAATGACCTACCCTGGGGAAAGGATTTGTCAAGCCTGCTTTACAGACAAAGGAAAGTATGGGGAATCTTCTTGAGAAGTAGGGCTCTAGATAGCTGAGATATAAAGCTGTCTCTGAATGCATACCTGACTAGGGCCTGTGAGAAAGAAGCTAGAGTAGAACACAGGACGAGAGGTCCTGTATGGCCTGAAATGTCCTGAAGAGGCTTATACATAGGAGAGAAGCAAAAGGCTCTGAGACTGGACTGTTGGGCAGATGGTCTCCTGTGCACATGGAATTTGCAGGAGAACAGTATAGACTAGGATGGCATGAAAGATGTAGGGATAGGGTGGTGGTTGCACAGTTCCCCTCAACAGTGAGGAGGGCTGAGTCCACTCTCATGGTGTTTGCCTTCCTCTGCTGCAGAGGCAGAACAGGGTACGGCACCGAGTCTGCATCATGCTTGAAGTTTCTCCCACACCAGAATCCAATTACACTGTATAAATCCTGTTCAGAGGCGCTGTTTCATAGCAAGACCCACAACAAGAAGTATCCTCTCCAGATGACCCAGTGCCATCAAACCCAGGGGACACATACTGGTTGTGTCTTCAGATACTCTGAGGACCTCGATTCTGTGGCCACCAGCCGGTTACTCCAAGGGTCACCACGACTTTAAGAAGTACATTCTCTCCACAAACTCATAGATCTGCCAGAGCTGCTCACCCCACACCAGAAGGCTGGATCGTACAGCAGGCAAGGGCCACTGCCTGCTTTCTGAACTGTGAAACAAGTCATGCTAACTGGACACATGGAGCTCACAAGCCCAGGACACAGGGTGAGCAAGGCAGCAAGGGTGGTAGTGCTGAGGAAAGGCCTGTACCCATCACACGTAAGAACAGAGATGACAGATCCTGTACCCAGGACAGCATCCCAACCAGGAGAGAACACCTGAAGGATGCACAGCAGGAAAACCCAGGCCCAGCCCAGCCTGCACTGCAAACTGTCCGTATTTAAAACACTCGTGTTGGGGGCTGGAGAGATGGCTCAGCAGTTAAGAGCACCAGCTGTTCTTCCAGAGGACCTGAGTTCAGTTCCTAGTGCTCACATCAGGCAGCTCACAACTGCCTACAATTCCAGCTCTAGAGAAATGGACTCCCTCTTCTGGCCTATGGACACCTGCACTTGTGTGCACATAATTAAAACTAAAAAGGTTTTTAAAGACTCGTGTTTACCAAAACCTGACATGTATAGGGCTATCTGCCCAGGTGCCCATGGGATTGAGGCTGGCTAGTCTCCACTGCTGAAGTGAGTACCCAGCAGCCCTGGGACTCCTGCTGAAGAGGCTGCAGGCACCTTGGAAGAACCAGCTGAGGGCTAGAGCCCTGAGGAATGGTCACAGCATTTCTTCCCAAGTATCCCTGGTGAGAATGCTGTCTCATGAGCCTCCCACTCATGGACAGCCACTATTCAGCCCACCGGAAGTCACTGACTCCAGCTGCGTCTGCAGTGCCCAGCGGGAATAACACCATGTTCAGTGTACGGGTGATTTCCTGGCACAAAGTGTCTGGTGACCATCAGATGGCCAACTCCCGAGGCACACAACTCCCACGTGAGGGAAGGTTCTGCCTGAACTAACTAGCCTCCTGCATGCTCTAGAGGGAGGGGAAGTATGAGATGATATCACTGACAGCTTCCCTCAATGTCCCCACTCACACCCAGGGTAAGGTGCTTAAACCTGGCTCTGGAGGAGTAATTCCAGCTATAAATATTCTGCTAATCCATGGAAGGAGACTTTTTCCATGAAAATGAAGTCACTGACGTGATGAGTTATGATAGACTTGTCCTAAGTCCCATGTACCAAGACATCCACAGTCTTGGAACACAAAGCCTCCCCCAGCCTCAGGAGGTGCTAGTGAGGCTGGGCCACGGCCCCTTTGTGTACAAAGTGATGTGTGAAGTGATGAGCAGAGATGCCAAAATTCCCACACCAGGGAGCATCAGCCATGGTGACAGGTAGTGAGCTGAAAACAAGGGAACAGTACAAGCTTCCTGTGAGATGGGAACTAAAACTGCTGAATGTTGAGAACCCACAGGTGGGGAGTGAGAGAAGATTCCCAGTGCGGAGAACTTCCTCTCACCCCCGGGCAACTTTATTAACATACAATGAAAATCACATTTCAGTACAAATAAAATACCACCACACCTTCCAGTAAGAAGACAGAAGACCAAAATGACTTGAAATATCGAAAAAGATGGGATTAGAAATAGCATTAATGGGCTGGCAGTGCTGGTACACACCTTTAATCCCATCACTCAGGAGGCAGAGGCAGGCAGATCGGAGTTTGAGGCCAGCCTGGTCTACAGAGTAAGTTCCAGGACAGCCAGGGCTACACAGAGAAACCCTGTCTTGAGAGAGAAAAAAGGGAGGGTGGGAGGGAGGGAGGGAGAGAGAGAGAGAAGGAAGGGAGGGAGAAAAGGAGCGGGGAGAAGTGGAGGGGGGAGAGATGGCCATAATGGATCAGGTAGTGGTAGTGAATCCTAGCACTCAGAAGACAGAGGCAGGCAGATCTCTGTGAGTTCAAGGACAGCCAGGGCTACATATTGAGACCCTGTCTCAAAAAAAAAAATTTTAAAAAAATGAATGAGTGAATTAACAAATGGACATATTATGGGCTTGGAGAGATGGCTCACTGGTATGTTCTTCCTAGAACATCTTTTTTTAGAAAATTCTAGAAAAAAGATGAAAGACTGAGTGGGCCATATTTTGACTAAGACTTTTTAATCTAATGGTCATTCCAGATCTCATCACTGACAGAGGGCTGTGCAGCCTGACAAAGCTTGGCATGGGGGCAGGACAGGAGTCCCTGGCTCTGCTGGCGAGCACACTGTGTGGTCAGTCAGAGGCTTTCGGTCATGGCAACATGACAAGAGAGAAGAAACAAGGGATCCACATTGTGGGGGACCTGCCCCCACCTTCTTTTCTCCAGGGTGCTCTTGAGGAGTGAGGGATAAGAGATTTAGATAGAAATACAGAGGGGAGAGAGACAGAAACACAGGATAGCCTCGGGAGGGCCTGGATCCTTATCCACCAGCCCCTTCATTCTCTTCTAAAGGGCTTTTTAAAGGAATGCCAAAGGGTGGAGCAAAAGACCTCTCCTTAGCACAGCAAAGGGCCGACCCTTCCAAACGCCGGTAAGCATGCACATGGTCAATCCATCCCCTTATGCAGCCCTGCTAGGTAAAGCAAGCTCAAATCTCACTAGGAAACCTCTATGGGCTCCCACACCACCTGGCCACTAGGTACCTTCTGCAGCACAGGCCATTGGGTCTGAATGTGGCTGGGACCACACAGAATAGAACCTAATACCTGAGAATCCCAGGTCCTGGCCACCTACACGTGTGCGGGCGTCTCTTCACTGTTCTCCCTGCTACATCAGCTAGGTGATGTTTGGAGGATTCCTTCTCGCCCCGCTGAGAGCCTGACCTATTCCAGCTCTTGGCCTTGTCACAGGCAGATTCTGGAAGATGCCCACACAGAGAAATGGCACAGAACATGGGACCATCACCTAAGAGCCTGCAGCTCTTCCCTTGAACTTGGACCCAGCACTAGGCTGATGCACATGTGTTCCACAAAACATGCAGATGAAAGGCCGCTTGGAAGAAATTCCTATCTGATGAGGAGGCCGGCTTCATGACAGGCCAACACCCAGCCTCTGCAGGTGCCTCTGAGGAATCCTTGGGGCCATGCTCAATATCCTTTCACTGAGGGAGAACAGGGACCCTTTGGGGCATCACTGCAGCATGGACAGAGATACCAAGATTGAGGTTCTTCCAGCCCTAGTGAGCGCCACAGACCACTCACTGTGCCACAGAGAGCTTCTACATCCCTAAGCTCATGGCTAGCATTTTGTTTCCTAGCTGTTCTTATGCTGGTTTCTGGTCTCGGAGGCTATGCCTATGCCCATCCCAGCCTCTGGAGCTGCCCCAAGGCCAGTCAGCAGCTGTCAGAGGCCTCTGCCCTCAGTCTTGTCTGTTCACGAGCACTCCACACTTTGAACAGCATCAAGTCCCTGCTACAATGTGGTGTCTTCCTTGACTCGGATGTCGGCTACAACCACTACACAGTGGTCACAGTGCAATTATACAAGGAAGTCACAGTACTGCCAGTTCTGGGAGAGAAGCTGTATTTTTATAGTCCCTAGGCCACCCTGGCCAGCCATGACAGGAGAGCTTTGGCTTGGAACCCAACACACATGACCATCAGAGAACAGCTTACATGGTAGAATGCTGTGATCAGATCAGCTGAAGGGGTGTAGGTGTGTGTGTGTGTGTGTGTGTGTGTGTGTGTGTGTGTGTGTGTGTGCG